AATAGCTGACTGATTGGTAAACAGGTTGCGGCAATGCCCATCATTACCCTAACTATACACCTCAAAACAACGCCAAAAAAAAAAGAGAAAAAGATCGGGGGTATCACGGTATCATCAGTACCAATATCAAACTATGCCCTTTGCCTTTGAAAAAACAACACCACCACCACCATCATCATCATCATCATCATCCCCCTAGCTTCCCATATCCAATCGCTAAAAGAGTTCAAGAATCATACGACCTCATCTACATCACCCTCCTATCCATCCCTAAGTCATAGCAGCCCCCAAGGCAGCCCCCATCACCTCCCTCTGCGGCGGGCTCCCCACCGGATGCCCATGCCCATGCTGTCCCAAACTCAACACCCTCTGCAGACTCCTCCTAAACAGCGCCTTTCCGCTCCCCGTCTCATCACTATGGCTATTATCTTTATGCTCCTCATGCGTGGTGGTTTTCCCCAGGAACCCAAGGCTCATCCTCCTCACCGTCGACCCAGGCGAGGAGGACACCGGTGGAGAAGTGCTCGCGGCGGCCTTCCTGGCGGCATTAATCTTTTGTTGTTGCTGCGCCTTCCTCTGACGAATGGCAACGAGTTCGGCCGTGGTGGCGGCTACAGGAACAGGAAACGGAGCCGTGTAGTTGGATCGTGGTGGCCATTCGCCGTCGCGTTTCCAGCCCACGACGCAGGCGCGGATCATATCCGACAGATTTACCGGGCAGGCTGGTTGGAGGCCTTGGACGACGAGTTTATCGTAGAGAGAAGAGTACATGGACGGGGTGATGGACGCGCGCATGGGGTTTTGTGGCGGGAGTAACGGAGCTGGAACGGGAATGAGTGTTTCGACTGGATAGACCGTGTTGGACTCGTGGGATGTGGTCTGCTGAATAGGCTGCTCTTTGGCCGAGTCGGATTCGGAGAGGGGAGGGGTGATGGCCGAGATGTCGGTTTGGTGCGAGGTGCGGGTTTCCGTTGGGTTGATGGGGGAGGCTTGGGGTGGCGCCGAGCCCGGAGTAGAGTGCTGAGAGCTGGATGACTCGGTGCGATGAAGTCTCCAGAACGAAAGTCGGCGGCCGGTAGACGGCGAAGTGGGGGGAGCCGGTTTCGGCTTCACGCGGACGGTCCGGGCACCTGTCCATGCGTCACGGCGGGCTTCGAAGCATGCGAGACCTGGATTCCAGGATGCCTCTTCTCTCACGGCTCTCCTCCTCCGAGTGCGTTTTGATTCCATCGATGTGCGTACGGCGGTGCCGACATCGTCGGGGCTGTTGAACCGGAAGGGTGATGGGACGGGTTGCAACCCATCGTCATCCGAAAGATCAGATGTCCACTCGGCTCTTGGCTGGAAATGGGCCAAATCTTCGGATATCGTGCTGTAGACAGATTCGTTCTCCGATTCCGAGTCTGCCTCCTCTCCCGAATCCCTGTTTGCATCGTCCTCATCGTCATTCTCGGTCCCCGTTTTGGGCGCCGAAATGGCTTCACCGGTGCTTGGCGGAAGCACATGCTCGGCTGATGTTGTTGATGTGGGTCCGGTTGCCGGTGGCAGTGGAGCGTCTCCGTTGACAACGGTCGACTGCTCCGATTCAGCGGGGGTTGGCGGTGAGTTTACCGGGATGACCGGTGGTGGTGGTGATGATGGTGTCACGGGCGGCCACGTGAACTCCCAGTCGTTTTTGACCCTCTCGGCGAGGTACCGCTTCACGGCCTCCTTTTGCTTGGCCTTGTCCTTGCTGACGAGGTCGGCATCGATATCTGAGGGCGGCGGGGGGTGGTGAGGCAGGGAGTTGCGCAGCTTGCTGAAGGGCGACCTCGGTGACTTGTAGAGGTCTGAGAAAATCATGGCTTTTGGTGTGTTGTTGTTTTTGGGAGGGTAGTTCACAGACGAGTCGTGGTCGCCACCGTTGGCCTCACGCGACGGTGACGGGGCCGGAGTGACTTTATAATAGATTGGGGGTGCTGGGGGCAGTTGACGCTGGCCGGGGGGGTGCTGAGAGTGCGGGGTGACGGGCGCTGAAAGTGGTATGATTCCTGAGCCAAGAAGGCCTGGTCCGCCCAAGTCTGGAGGCAGGCACAGCAAAGCTCACATTAGCGATCTGCGCATTGACTTGTGGGGGGATAAGACATAGTGTAGTGTAGGAAGAGCAAGGGAGGGTTGAGAGGGATGTTGATCAGAGTAGAAGAAGAACAAGAAGAAGAAGAAGAGGATCAAGAGACAAAAACATACCAGGTGATGTGAGTCTGACAGCAGTGGCAGTGGCAGCACTAGTCCCGTCCTGACTTGCATCATGAGCGGTGTCTCTCTCATCAAGGATGGCTGTGGCCGTGGCGGGGTCTTTGTTGATCGGCATGGTGTCTGTGTCTGTGGGCGCTTCTGGCCCTCCCTCATCCGAGTGCATGGCTTTCTTGCAAAAGCTGTGTTCCCGAGTCTGGGGAAGCGGCAGGATCCGATGGCCGTTTTTTCCTCTCTGTGTCTACCGATTCTGGCCGAGCCTCGTTCCTTGTTGTTGAGAGAGGATTATGTTCAGGAACACGCCACTAACGAAGAGATCCCGAGCCTTGTTTTGATTGTCTTGTGAGTGGTTCCCAGCGCAGTGGATGAGAATCAATATCTCAATTTTGAGAAACGGCACCTGAAATCCTTCGTCTCCACCACCACTGGGCAACCAGCAACTCAAAAAAAAACAACCCCACTCCACCCGTTCGTGGTGGGTCCCGGCGCCAGTGACATGTAGGTTTGGGGCCATCTGCTGAGATCGTGTGACTTGTGGACTTGCTGCCAAACCGTTTTGACTTTTGTTCCTCAGACGGCACTATTCGTGTCAGTTGTCACTGGGAATCCCCTCAAATCCCATTCTCCGCCCTCCAACAAACCCCCCCCCCACCCTTTCTTCCATCCAAACTGGGTGAACTGGTGGCGTGTTTTTTCTCTTTTCTCTCCTACCACCCACCTCACATCACACTCCCACTTGATGCGGGGGACTTGAATGGATGCCCGCCGGCCGCCGTCTGTGTACATACATACATAGTACATCTCTTGTGCTTGGTAAATGCAACGCTGCGGTGCCTCCATCATCTGCAACTTGCCCTCTCGGCATGCGATCGAGACTACATTGGCCGGCCGCCCCGTTCAAGAGGTTGGGAACAAGCTTGGTCTAGAGCTGAAAGGTCCTTTTGCTTTTGGTACAGACCCTGAATTATATCCTCCTTTATAGACAGGGAAGAATTGATTATGTATATTTCTACCGTCCAAAGCGGTGTGTAGCTACCTCTGTGGCAGGTCTCACCTCGGGTGATTTTGAAGAATAATCCCACCGTCCCTCCTCACAACATCGAGCTATTCCCACCTCCCACTCCCGCTGCGTAACACAAAGCAGGAGGGTCAAACTGTCCACCACCACTTTCCACGCTGACAAACCTCCCGCTGTACCCATTTTGCCCCTCACCACCCACCCATCGCCTAACAAACGAGCCTGCATACCGACCTAGACCTGTAAGTGTAACCAATAATTCCCATGCTCGACAAACTGACAGATGACCACACCCACCCGCACTAGCCAAGACGCCGCCACCTCTCTGTAGTTTGTAGCGCGTCCTTGGGAATCCCAAATCGAGCATCTCCTGTGCATCTCCAGCAGGTTGTTTTGTTTTTGATCAATCCCGTAGCACACACAACCGAGCTGTCCGAGTGTTTTTGTATTCCGCTAGCTTCTGTAGGCACAACATGTTCGGGAAGCCGTTCAAAATTGAAAACCTGTCTGGATCCTCCTGGCTTCCATCAACGCTTCCATCTCCTGTGTAACCATACCATATCTCCATTAATCATCAAACAAACCAAAAAGAATACACTCCACCCCCTCACCACCCCCTTACAAGACCCTGCAATCCACCAATCTACCTCCCCCCAATCCCAAACCCCCCCCTCAGCCCCTGCCCAGCCGTGACAACCCCCGACCTATCCCCCGGAAAACTCCTGCTGCTCAACAGCACCCCCTTCACCCTCCTGATATTCTCCTTCGCCCTCCTAATCTCATCATCCCTCTCCTGCCTCGCCCCGTACATGTTGTACCCCCCATACACCTCCCCGCTCGTCTCCCTCGCCAAACCCTCCAAATCATCCCTCATCACCTCCAGCACCGTCTTCACATCCGCGTAACCCTCCGACTGGCTCGCCAAACCCTCATTAACTTGTCTCAAAGACTTGACCAGACCAGACAGACGTCTGGCCTGGTAATTCGTAGCCGTTTCTTTTGCGTTCCCAGGAAAGAGGGGAGTAGACAAGTTGAGGGAGGAGCGGGGTGTGTCTTCTGTCTGGATGCCAATGTCGCGGTGGAACAGCTCGGTTGGATCGTCGTATTGGGATTGCATGTCTAGTGACTGACGAGGGGAGTGGTCCTGGTCGTGGGAGGGGTAGGTTGGGATTTGGGAAACGGTTTCTTCTAGCTTGGTGACCTATTTGGAGAGGTTATCATTCGCTGCTGTGGCGAGTTCAATCCCCGAAGCGGTGAGGGAGGTGACCCTGGGTTCGAGGACAAATCTGAAGGTGCTCTAGATAAGGGTTGACCATCCCGTGCAGGCGAGCACCGTCCTGTGGAACATATCTGCGGGGATTATCAGTGGGCTACTAGAAAATATATTAAAACTTCGGACATACACACAATATCTCTAATCCCAATCACCGATAAACCACCCAAAC